GAACCCTTCCTAGAGCTGGCCGTCCGGCCAAACTGAGCTATCGGGGGAGAACAGCCTTGGTGAGAGAGGTAAAAAAGACCCAAAGGTCACTGTGGCTGAGCTCCAGAGATGCAGTCGGGAGATGGGAGAAAGTTGTAGTAAGTCAACCATCACTGCAGCAATCCACCAGTCGGGGCTTTATGGCAGAGTGGCCCGACGGAAGCCTCTCCTCAGTGCAAGACGCATGAAAGCCCGCATGGAGTTTGCTAAAAAACACCTGAAGGACTCCAAGATGGTGATAAATAAGATCCTCTGGTCTGATGAGACCAAGATAGAACTTTTGGCCTTAATTCTAAGCGGTATGTGTGGAGAAAACCAGGCACTGCTCATCACCTGTCCAATACAGTCTCAACAGTGAAGCATGGTGGTGGCAGCATCATGCTGTGGGGGTGTTTTTCAGCTGCAGGGACAGGACGACTGGTTGCAATCGAGGGAAAGATGAATGTGGCCAAGTACAGGGATATCCTGGACGAAAACCTTTTCCAGAGTGCTCTGGACCTCAGACTGGGCCGAAGGTTACCTTCCAACAAGACAATGACCCTAAGCACACCGCTAAAATAACGAAGGAGTGGCTTCACAACAACTCCGTGGCTGTTCTTGAATGGCCCAGCCAGAGCCCTGACTTAAACCCAATTGAGCATCTCTGGAGAGACCTGAAAATGGCTGTCCACCAACGTTTACCATCCAACCTGACAGAACTGGAGAGGATCTGCAAGGAGGAATGGCAGAGGATACCCAAATCCAGATGTGAAAAACTTGTTGCATCTTTCCCAAAACGACTCATGGCTGTATTAGATCAAAAGGGTGCTTCTACTAAATACCGAGCAAAGGGTCTGAATACTTATGACCATGTAATATTTCAGTTTTTCTTTTTAATAAATTTGCAAAAATTTCTACATTTCTGTTTTTTTCTGTCAAGATGGGGTGCTGAGTGTACATTACTGAGAAATAAAATGAACTTTTTTGATTTTTGGAAAATGGCTGCAATGAAACAAAGAGTGAAAAATTTAAAGGGGTCTGAATACTTTCCGTACCCACTGTATGTTTGAACAGAGTGTGATGGTAGGTGACCGGGACAAGCTTTGCTACTATCATCAGTCCTCAAACCCTGCGCTAGCTAAGAATGGTCTTGAGGAAAACTTGGGAGGTCCTGGGATATTTTTCTCCCAGGGAGAAATAGTGAGTAACTCAGTTTCACTTTAATTTTACTTTAAACAGGTATGAACAATGCAGAGCACTGCCTTCCCCTGATGGTTCATCAAATAGAATTAACAGCAAGAAAGGCAATAAATTATCTGAAAGCCTCAGAGCAAGAGGAGATGCCTTTTGCCTCACAATAATGCTCATGAGGTTTCCTACATAAGTAGGACTACATAACTAGGAACAACAGGCTGCATTAAAATATTTGATCTAATTAACTAATTAACATAAAACTATATATTACACTGCTTGTCATGGGCTACATTTCCATTCAGTTTAAACACTCCCAAGAAACTCCAGGACACGGGTGATTCACTTCCATGAAGTTTACTGGGAATCTTGTGAAACTGTAACATTACAATGAGATGTTTATATCATTAAAGAAGCTAAACACACAGTATGAAGGTAAGCAGCACCGCTTAGCTAACGTAGCAGCAATGAAACATAAAGCTAACTTATCCTAGCGTAAACTAATTAGCGTCTTAGCCATCACAATATTCTTAGAAGCTCAAAATAGGTGATAACTTAACGTTACACAATGAAATACTTACAGATGTTGCCTTAGCAAAGAGGGAGAATGAAGAGCAATCAACTCAGAAGCTGGGAGTGGGAGTGCTCACACATGACCGTAGCAGATCACCGCATGGCAGTTTTCTTCTCGTTTCCCAGCATACACTGGTCCTAGGTTGCCACGGTCACAAAAATAAACAAACTACACTGAACTGGTGAAACGAAGTGACAAACACATTTTCTAGGAGCATAACACTCCCCGCTTGGGGTCTTTAAAGAGCCCACATTAATGAACAGAACCAGTCTTTGGAGAGAGAAGTGGAACTACTTCTATAATAGGTCTAGAGAAAGTCTTTCTGCTTCCGTTCTTGATGACTTCCACTAATCCATCTTCTCTGCTAAAGGTTTTGGAGATGAAGCCCATAGGCCATTGATTTCTCTTCGCCTGATTGTCTTTCAAGAGAACTACGTCTCCTTGAAGGTTCGGTTGTTGTCCTTGCCACTTGTGCCTGAGCTGCAATGTCTGGAAGTATTCGTGTTTCCACCTGTTCCAAAACATGTCCGCTAGGCCCTGAACTTGCTTCCACTCCTCTCTGAAGAGATCCGCTTCCTCAAAGCTGTCTAACGGAGGAGGAGGTACAGAGCTTGTCCTGAGGGTCAGAAGCATCGCTGGGGTGAGGATGAGAGGTGAATCAGAGGTGATGACACTGGGATGAGCGGCCTAGCGTTCATGATTGCAGCTACCTCGGCCATGAGTGTGGTCAGGACCTCATGTGTGAGGTGAGACTTCCTCTGCTCAAGTAGCATGCAATCCAAAATAGACGCATTGCGTGGGTTAAATATCCAGGTGCAACTCTGTGAGTCCAGGTAGTTTGACCCAAACAGTCTCCAATGAGTGTCGTTGAGCCGCACGTGGAGGTTGGTGTTGGATGGTGCTGATGTTTAGGTGCTTGATCAAATACCTTTCACTCTGATCTGGTTGTTGCATGGCTAGAGATGACTTGCACGACCATTCTCTAGGATGGCTGTTTTGAAACTTCTCACCTCCAGTGGCCTGTGAGCGCCTCCAAGGCACACATCACCAACGACGACCCATCCTAGGTCGAGCCTTTGAGCAAACGGTGCATCTCCTGAGCCACTTATCTGCTCTCGGACCTTGTGCACCCGCAAGATGTCTCTGCCCAGCAAGAGGAGTATCTTGGCGTCCGGATCCAGAGGTGGAATCTTGTCTGTGATGTGCTTAATATACAGCCTATTACAATATAAATTCCAATGTTTAATGCTGTAATTAAATATGTAAAAAGAATAAAACTTTCAATAAATGTTTTTGAAGTGCGTGAATAAATCCAAAATTGTAACCCTAACCCTGGGTCGCTTGTGTAAGCATAGCGTGTGCAGTGGCAGTGGAGGAACACTTGATGAAAAGACCGAGCCCCAGCATCACCTGTGTTGTGCCAAGTTGTTTGCACTGCGAAGGACTTTCGGATAATTTATCAACGTAGATGAACCAAGAATATTTTATCGTTCATAAATAACCGGCTACTTGAAATAGACCTACAGGGAACCGCAACATGCATGCTGTTGTCGGCAGCAGTAATGCATGTAAAAGTCTGCACAAGACCGTTGAATGACAGGCGAGACAGAGTGAGAAAGAAAAGCGTCATTTTAGCTGGAAATTTACAGTGTAAGTTGAATGAAGAGACTGCAGCTCTGCAGCTTCTCAAGCGGACCTACCGTGTGTAACACCCCCCCCACTCGCAATCGGCGCGCACATAAACACACACATGATTCGATCAGTCAACAGGACTTGACGATTCTGATTCGACTATGTAAATCCAGCCCGTTGTCATCTCAGGGCGTCATATACCGATGATTTGAGAAAGAGTGACAAAGCATAGTTATTTAGGGTCTGTGTGAGACGCTCTGGGGCGTCCCGTACAGACCGGAAGTGTACGTTCGTGATAAAGGTGTTGACAGCCCCCCGAAGCCCCTACCCTTACCACAACCATCAGAAATGTTAGTACCTAAACCTAAGTCACTGAATGTATGCATGTCAACCGGCTAACCCTACAGCTGTGCACATCGGCCTCATGGTTAGCCCCCCTTGTGTTGCTGCTGCTGTTGTTTTGTATAATAGTGTTGTGTTCTCATTTGTAATGTAATGTAATTTAATGACTCATTGTAAGGGGGTGGTGATGGTACAGTGGATGAGACACATGCCTTTGGTGTGAGAGACCAGGGTTCAATCCCCCACTGTGACACATCCACCAATGTCCTTGAGCAAGACACGTAACCCCTAGTTGCTTCAGAGGCATGCAACCTCTAACATATAAAGCATTTGTAAGTCGCTTTGGATAAAAGCGTCAGCTAGATGAATATATAGTAAATTCATAAAGCTCCTTTCAAAGATAAAATCGCAAAATGCTTCACAACAAAGTGAGATACAATATGTGAATACATAGGAAAAACCAGACATAAATCAGACAGCCATAAAACTCTTGTCTAACTAAAAGCCTGTGTGAATAAAAAAGTCGTCAATTGCTTTTTTAGGGAATTGACAGAAGTTCCACAATGTAGAAAAGGAGGCAATACATTCACCTTCCTAGGTGCCACTTCTTGAAATGATCGATCCCCTATGGTCTTAAAGTTTGTGTGGGGAAGCATGAAGCTGTATATGAAGCTTGTCTGTGCAACACTTCATTTATCTTCATGCTTTTTGTGATGTGCTGTTTTTTTGGTTTAGATATGTGTTATGTGAAATATAGACATGCTTTTTGTTCTGTGTTGATATGTTTTAAATATTTTTTACAGTTACACGCTGACAGCTTAGGAGTAATTCACCTTGCAAATGTCTGTCTTGCCCATTGTGACATAGTAAAACATGTTAACTGTATTTTCACTCAATGTCATAGTTAGTCACTACACATTTTCTCTCTTACCATGATGGGAACTGTTTCTCTTTTCTGCCCCTCCCAGTTGGTGACTCTCAAAACAACAACCTTGTTTGCCTAAAACCTGTTGTATTTCTAAATGCTTTCTCCAGATGCTCCAAAGCTTCCCTCTGTGTCAGTGAGTCCCTCTGCTGAGATAGTGGAGGGCAGTTCAGTGACTCTGACCTGCAGCAGTGATGCTAACCCAGCAGCTAAATACACCTGGTACAAGGAGAATGAAGACTCACCAAAAGCATCAGGACAGAACTTCACCATCACTGACTTCAGAGCTGAACACAGTGGGAATTATTACTGTGAAGCCCAGAACAGAAGAGGACGTCATAACTCCACCTTACATCTGATTGTTGTGGCAGGTACGTTTCTACCTGGCTGATTAACAGAAGAGCATCACCTGGCAAACTAATTCATGATACAAATCCTACTAATGAGGTCCAGCACAGTTTATCTAATAAATGTCTGTCTCCATTTCTAGATAAAACAGAAATGATAATAATTATCATCACATTGACTCTGGTGGTTGTGATGCTGATTCCTCTGCTTCTGGTTTGTCTGTGGTTGAGGTGAAACTATAAAAATGAATCAGTTCCATCACTGATCTTTTACTTTGAATAGTGCCAAAATAGTTTTGGAGTTATTCATCAAACTTTATATTTGTTATTTGATTAAATTCAGAAAGAAGAAAACTCTAAGCTGCACCGCTGAACCGATAGAGACTTTAGAGGTGAGAAAGTTGTCGGGCCACAGTGACAGTGGGTTATAATTTGTTATCTTAGTCATTCATTTTAATATAAAATCGAATAGTTCAAATTACATTTAATAAGCCTTTGACTCTCATCTTGTTTTCTCTCCCCATCAGTTGGAGTCTGATCCGGTTTATACATCTCAGCCTTGAAACAAAACTGTATGTGACTTTCTTCTGATGCAATCAAACCAGAGGGGACTCACCTGGATGGAAGGAGAAGTACAGCATTGAAGTAGTCAGTGGAGAACAGGGGGCTGTGGAGGATGAGGATACATTTACCTTTAACTGCAAACATTTTCATTTTTAGTTTTCATTAGCAGCAGCAGGTAGACGTCAGCTGCAGCATGTAGCACAAGATTAGAGTAGAATGTAAGCTTTATTGTTACCTGTGCAGGTACATTACATAAGTTCAGTATTTTACTCAGTATACAAAATGTTAACATTTTAATGTAATAAAGCGCTTTTAAGAAATACTTTCACATCATACCTGGCCTGTCGGAGAAAGCCAATAAAGTCTGTTCAAAACAGACACGTCAAACTGGATTTGACAGCATGTACAGTCTATATTTAAACACTGAAATCAAACAGAAGAGATAGAAGATAGAAAGGTGTCAGAACACAGAGTGAAGTTGTAGCATGGCTAGATTAGTTATGAATTTTAATATTCATAAAATCAAATTTTTTCCTCGTTTCAGGGCACCACCGGAGTTGTTATAATCCTAGAGTCTCCGGACCTCTAGGTAGCTTTTAATAATTATACAATTATCACTAGTGATCAGTTAGTTAATAATCACTCAATTATCTTAAATCAGTCAGTCAGTCTCATATGTAAAGGGTCAATTCTGTTGGCAGGGATGTGGAAATAGGCAACACACACAGTTTCCTGATTATATTACAGTGAATTTATTCTCTAACTAATGCGATATAAAAGGGTGGTTAAATACCGGGAAAATAAACAATTGCTGAACAATGAGAAATGGAGGTTCGATTGTGGGAAGCGTTTGACTCATATGGCAGAGGAGAACTAATGAAAGTAAGCTATGAGTTTAGGAGTTAAAAGGAAATATTAACCTTACGGGACATCTGACCGCGTTGCCTGGCGAGGCACGCCGGACGCGTGCCGAAGCGTCCAGAGAGCAGAGCGGAAGGCCAGGGCACGAGGGGAGGAGAAGAGAAGTGAGAGGGCGTCGCTCTTTTGTTGTCTGGGGCGTGGTTCCCCAGAGGGCGTTTCAGGTTTCCCGAGGGACTGTCTTTCTAAACTTAAGGTCTAAAAGAAAAGAAAATCTATTTGCGCGTATTATAATCAAATATTTTCCACAATCGAACCTCAATGGTTGAACGGTTGTACTGTAGTTAAGTATTTGGTAACAGGAAACAATTGTCACATTATTGGTCAGGATATTTATACATTTAATGGCATTGCCAACGATGGTATGTAATACTTATTTCGTCCACTTGGGGGAGCTCAGGTTACATGAGGAAAGCTTAGATTAACCCAAACAATCTTTCCTTAGGAACTGGGGAATTTACTTATTCAGCCTTAAATTCTAGCTGGCGATTAAGAGTATAGTATGACATTTCTTTATCATCATTTCTAAAGGAATTTTGTGAGAAAGTGTTGTGAACAAGTATTGGTTACACATAACATGACGGGAGTGTCCTTAACCTTGCTGAAAATAAAAACACTGCAAAAGTAACTTATTTAGATTCTTTTCAGCACTAATATCAACAACAGATAGCAACAACATGGTAACATAACTACTCAAATAGAGGCAAACGTAATCAGGTAACTAAAAGATTTAATTAAACTTAATTAAATGCTTTGAGTCTTTGGAGACTGCAGTCTTTGGTTATTTAAAGTTCGGCTTCCTGGGTTATGTCACAAGTGGGTGAGACCAGGAGTATCCCTTTAATGGGGTAATGAAACACAGACCCAGTCAAGTTGCCACGGTTACATGTGTGGGGGGGCCCAGTTTTGATAGGCTGTTCAGGGAAATACTAATCGCTGGCTAGTGTCCCTTTGTCAGTTTAACAGTCAGGCACCGCTTTATCAGCTTCGTAGATCAAAAAGGCGCCAGTTTTACGACCAGGCATAGCACTTAAAGAAAGCAACTTTCACCCCCCCCTTCTGTTGGGGTCTCCCCAACAGTCCGTTGAAAGTTGATCTCCAACCCCCCCTGCTCCCCTCTGGGAGAGGAAAAAGGAATTTGGAGTAGCTCCAACTTTATTCAATATAAAATGCACAAATCCACACCGTTGTTTCACTACAAAGTCCATGCCTGGACATGAGTGTTTTGGTGGCAAAAGAGAGACCAATATGACCAGCAGGTGGTCATAATGTTATAGCTGGTCAGTGTACATGTCAGTCTGGCCAGTTGGGACTATTATTATCTACTCTTAGAAGCTTCATAAACACAGGCCCTGTTCTGTTATACCAATAATATCTCTTTCATAGAGATTGATAAGATTTCTTTGTTTCCTGTGTCTTCACAGTATAAGGAAATATGTTGCTTTGGTACAAACTAGAGGTGGATAAGAGGTGGTCTTGCCGGCAGTAGCAAGACCTCAAAGACCCCAAAGCAACACAATCTCTTTGTCTCTCTCTTAAGATGTACTTGTAAAGTTTTTCCATAATCAGCAACATTATTAGGGCAGGGGGGTGCTTAACCATGGATACACTGGTGGGTAAGGAGGGAGTCCTTGTACTCAATCCTAAGGGAGACAGGAAGCCAGTGGAGTGATTTGAGGATGGGGGTGATGTGGTCATGTTTGCACACCCTCAACAGGATCCTAGCAGCGCTGTTCTGGATGTACTGCAGATTGACGTTTCTCAGGGATCCCAGTGAGGAGTGCATTGCAGTAGTCCAGCCTGGAGGAGACAAAAGCATGGATAAGCTTTTCCGCATCTGCAGGAGTGAGTGTGGGACGGAGTTTGGCGATGTTCCTGAGGTGGAAGAAGAAGGTCTTGCAGAGATGTTTGATGTGAGCCTCACTCTCATCAAAGGTCAGATGAGAGTTCATTTTACAACTGATGTCTGTTAAACTATTAAATATTTGGATCTTGATGACAGTGAAGTGACAATCATCTAACATTTTTTGTGATTTACTGTGTGGTTTTCAAGAAGAGCTTGGCTGTAAATTGAGATTGAACTTTATTTATCTGGAGGGAAATGGTTGTGCAGCAGTTGCAATATAAAGCAGGAATAAATGTAAATATATAAATGGCAAACATAAAATATAAAATTTCATTAAAATATCCACAAGGTGCAATTCAAAATATACACAAAAATATGATCAGGTTACTGGTCTACATCTGTTATAATACACATTTTGTTACATAATCTAAATAAGAAATTTTATTGCATGTGTTTTTCTGCTCATGTGTCATCAGCATAATTATATCACAGTTTGCATTTCCAAACAAGACCCACCAGTTCATTTAATATGTGTGTGCCTTATATTATCTTAATATATGATCTCAGTTCCACATGTTTAACGACTGTCACTGTGTATCTATTAGAGTTTGTGGATGTTTCTGTTTCTCACTGAGTCAGGGCTCCATGTGCAGGAGCTGAGCAGACTGTCTCTAAAGTCTCCTTACTGGGGATCATTTAAGTGTCACAGCAGGTGTGTACCTCATTGTCCTTCTTACATCTGATACATGAAAAGGTGTGTTGTACATAACTCTATCCAGTGGTGCCTTTTAGTTAATGTGCTGTACCATGACTTCAAATACAGGATATAAACAGTATATAAATGTATATATGTGTGCGTGTGTGTGTGTGTGTGTGTGTGTACGTGTGTGTGTGTGTGTGTGCGTGTGAGAGAGAGTGAGTGAGTGAGAGTGACCTCACTTCCCCTTTCTATTTTAGCAACATGCATTAGTCATTGAGCTCTAGAGTAGCACTGCCTGCTCTGTGGTACTGCAGTCAAAGATGTAGTAATAACAGAGCCATTTATCTTTCAGGTTTGAATCCACTGTGAGACATTCACCAGTGTGTCCCTGAGCAAGACACTTAACCCCTAGTTGCTCCAGAGGCGTGTGACCTCTGACATATATAGCAATTGTAAGTCGCTTTGGATAAAAGCGTCAGCTAAATGAATAAAATGTGAAGTGAATTAAAATGCACTAACAGAGGCATCTGTGCCTCCAAAGGCTCACCATTGGACATGTTTTGCACATGCAGTCATGGAGATGTTGAATCAACATACGGTCCTGAATATAGTCAAACATGGCAGAATCCTTTGTATATTTTAAGTCCTTCATGTTTACACATTGCTGTGTTTCTTTGCAAGTTATCAACAACTGTTGATCAGGGAAAATGTGTGTAACCAGCAGCAGGAATGTGTCATTCTTTACTCCTGTACTGACGCGTTAATGTTCGTCCTCCCCCTCCACAAGACAAGTTTTGTAAGAATAATAAAGATTATCACAACAATATTAATATTTTTTTCCTTCCAACTTGCATACTTGAGTGTGACAGACATTCACCTTTTGATGAATATTAATAACGTAAGAGAGGAAGGAAGCCAGGGCAATCTCAGATTGTGAAACTGGTGTATATTTATAGTGACTAACTGACATACAGGACTTCTCATATATGTGATCTACCTGCTGATTTAACAGACGTGAGGAGCAGCTATGAGTTTAACAGCAGCAGCGAGTGGATTTGTTGTCTTCCTTCTCTCTGTACAAGGTACTGTACATCTACATTTATACTGTGAGACATTTAGCACATTTAATGTGTGGCGTGTGGTGCAATCTCTAGAACACCAGACATTCACTTCTCTTAAAAGTCTTTACAAGACGACCAACAGAGAGCTACGTCTGTTTTTTACACCAGCAGCATCTCTTTATGTTTATACTTTTTACTAACAATGTAAAGTTTTTAAACTGAAGTTCACAAAATTTAATTGTGTGGTTGTCCACTTTTACAAACCATCACTAGTCAAATGCTTAAAAAAATATCCAATAGTTTACATCATACATTCCTAAACACAGCTATAATTTCAACTTCCAGTTTTACAAGAATGGATAAAAATGAAATAATTAGCCAAACAGCATGGGTAAACAGTAGAAATATTTGGCTAAAGGTACTGGATAAATGGTTGTCGATGAATGGGTTCATCTGGGCCCTGGGGTGTTTGACACTCTGGAATCACTAAGTTGGTTCACTGATCACTGAGTCTCCCACAGTATCAGTTTCCTTGTCATAAATTCTTTGTGAATTATGTATTAGTGTTCAGTATAAATAATGTGTTCACCTGATTATAAATAAAGCATTTGTAATCACTGGTGTTAAAAGTGCTGTATATAGTAAATACATGTTGCTGTGCCATATGTCGTAGAACCTTCACATTTATAATATCTATCTTGTCTGCCTCCACCAAGAAGGTTTTGTTTTCAGTGCTGTTTGTCTGTTCTGTCAGCAGGATAACAGAAAAATGACTCTTCTGATTTACACCCTTCGAATTGGCGGAAGGTTTCACAGGGGACTTCAACGCAGTTCTTCTGTGTGAAGTCCTGTGTTTGACACAGGCAACACGGCCAATCGAGGTTGCTAAAAATGTACACATGGGTTGTAATAAGCAGCATAATAAGTCTATCTAAACAGCATCTCCACTCTTGCTGCAGGGTTAGAATTAACATGCTGTCTATGTTTTTATTTACTTGGCAGTGGCATCTGATAAAACAGTTATAAATAATGACATATTACTAATAATACGTAGTTACCAAAGTGAATTTTTTTTTTTTTGTTTTTTTGCATTTTTCTCATGATATTGTACAAAGATAAAATATAAACTATTGTTTCTGAAATGTTAGGAAAAGTATTTCAAATTGCAAAGAAAATTCTATTCCAAATCATACTACTATAAAAGTACTTTATATGTAAAAATCATCGCTCGGGATGCGCTAGCCACCAGCGGGCCCTCACCGGTCTGTCCGCCCCCGAGGGGCTGCAGCCGGAAGACGACCAGGCTCACAAACCGTGGTTCGCCGGCGAGTTTTCTCTAGCGGTCCTCCACTTCAGGGCGCCACCGGGGACCCCCCGAATTTCGCGGAAGCTTGACGGAGCCTCGCAAACATTTCCCCGTGGGTCCTGCGCACAGTAGTGGATGGCCACAGGCTGCAGTTCCGGGTTCGCCCCCCCAGATTCTGCAGGATGGTCAGGACTGCAGTACACGCAGGACACAGCCGGGTGTTGGGACAGGAAGTCCGCTCTCTGCTAGAAAAATTGGCCATAGAAGTCATTTCCCCGCCGGTCAGAGAGGCCGGGTTCTACAGCCGATACTTCTTAGTTCCCAAGAAGGACGGAGTGTTGCGTCTGATTTTGGATCTGCGGTCCCTGAACCAATCTCTGAGGAGATTCAGGTTCAGGATGCTTACCATCCCTGCCATCATCAGTCACATCCAATCTGAGGATCGGTTGTCACGATAGATCTGCAAGACGCTTATTTCCACATCTTTCCTGAGGTTCGCCTTCGGGGGAGACTCCACCCCGAGGTGGTGCAGTTATTATGCGAAAAGTTCGGCCCCGAGAGACTACGCACTGTCCCCTATGGTTCTTCCTCTTGCCCCCAGCCCCGCTAGGGCTGGATGCCATAGTGCAGACGTGGCCGAGGCCGCAGTCGAGACACTACTCAGCTCTACACGAGAAGGATGTACGGCCTGAAGTGGAATGTGTTCACCACCTGGTGCAGAGAACGGACGGTGGACCCAGTTACCTGCTTGGTAATTGTGATACTGGAGTTCCTCCAGCATCGTTTCTCCACGGGCCTCTCCCCATCCACGCTCAAAGTATAGGTGGCTGCCATTGCAGCAGTCCACGCCCCTCTGAGTGATGGGCCCTTGGGGAGGCTTCCACTGGTCGTGCGCTTCCTCCGTGGAGCCCGGAGGATGAGACCCGTGACTTGTTCCATGGTTCCCACCTGGGACATGGCAGTGGTTCTTGAAGTGCTGGCTGAGGCCCCCTTCGAACCCGCGTAGACACACCAATAGGATTGGAGTAGTTTCATTCATAGTTCAGCCCTGCCACGCCCGACGCAGTGTTTCGTTCCCCTTCTCGGGGAACAAGGGTTACATACGTAACCCGAGACGTTACCTTTTTACAACCACCTTCACACATTCAAGTCTGTCTCCTGATGTTGTTGAGTCTGACTGTAGTTTCTGATGTGCTCTGTGTTACAGTGATACAGGCTCAGAATGGCTGGGGAGTGACTTACACCTCTACTCAGATCTGTGCCTTAAAAGGATCAACAGTGGAAATAAGCTGCACCTACACATACCCATCCAGAATAAATGACCGTGATACTACAGTTCAGGAATCATTCTGGTTTACTCAGATGAATGGAGATGTACCTGTGGATCTGAGAACAGACTCAGAGTACGCAGGTCGTTTGCAGTACAGTTGTTCTGACAACATCTGCACTCTGAGAATCACAGACCTGAGAGAGAGCGACTCAGTTGAGTACAAGTTCGGGTTCATAACAAACCAACCAGGTGGAAGATTTACTGGTTCACCTGGAGTCACTTTGTCTGTCACAGGTAACATTTGTGTTGGAAACCATGTCAGTTAGCTCCAACATGCTCAACATTTGATAAACACTACAGTGAATCTCGGTGTGCCTGTTAAAATGATTGTTTAATCTAAAATAATAAATTTTTTTTTTTTTTTTTTTTTTTACAAATGCAGGTTTCCAGGTGCAGATGAGCAGCTCACAATCATGCAAGATTTACACGTGTACATGGTCACAGCTGAAGTGTCTCAGCAGCTGTCGTCTACCTGATCAAACCTCCTACATCTGGTACAAGAATGGACAGAAAATTAAGGAAGAATCATCTTATTCAGACTACTTTTATCCTCCAGACAGCTATTCATGTGCCCTTAAAGGACATGAGGATTTTCCTTCTCCATCAGTTTGTGAGTTTACTCCACAATCTTCTAATAATGTGACAAAGTTTTGAACATTTTAGCTGATGTTCTGTACCATGACTTCATTTATCTTTTAACATGAGCGACCCCATCCACAGGAATACAACCAGATGTGAAATACTACAATAAAGAGAATATTTTTAATAACAATAATCAAATATATTTACATTTTTCAGGTGGCCACGGTCAAACCTGCAGCAGAGTGACTTACACTGACAGAAGCATCTGTGCCTTCAAAGGCTCATCAGTGAACATTTCTTGTACTTACAACAGTTATTCCACATATATCACATCTAAATTCTGGTTCAGTCCTGAACATAGTCTTCAGTGGCAGAATCCCTCACAGCCTGAGGACCTTAGTGAAGACTCCCAGTATGCAGGTCGTGTTCAGGTCCTTGAAACAGAGAGAGGACGCTCCACTCTGAGAATCACTGACCTGAGAGTGAGCGACTCAGCTGAGTATCACTTCAAATTCACAGCAGGAAGCTTTGAATGGAGGAGTAGTTTACCTGGTACAACTCTGACTGTCACAGGTACTGATGAACACAAACTGTAACAGCACATTTAAACTATCTGATGACAAGTGAACGTGTCGAATAGTGATCCTAAAGGAGAGAATTTTAAGTGTGATTAATTGAAATCCGTGTATGATTCGTTCTTTGATTATTCTGTTTCAAAACGGAATCAGAAAACACAAAAAAAACCAAGTAATTTTATTGTTTTAAAACCAAAACTGAAAAATATTGATTTTGACATTTAATATGTCCGATTAGTGTAACTATGTGTGCTTGATTAAATGTAATTAAGATGAGCTTGAACATAAGAAAAACAGCAGGCTCAACGTTCAGTTTATAACTCACTAACAACAGGAACAGGAACACCTCAGACGTTGCCTGAGAATCCTGTGGTTTTTAAGATTTCTTCAGAATCAAATTAATTCAGTGTTATTGTTTGTTTATTGATTTTTGGGTAATTTTCATTCATTAATTCAATATAGGCTGGGCTCATTTGGAGTAAAGCTCGGCTTTAAAGGTATGGATGAGCATTTAATGACAAATGAAGATGTCTTTAATGATTACTTTCTGACATTGTTTATGCCTAAGATTACCATATGTAGCCATTTTGCTACAATTAGTGTAAAGAAGACACAACGGCTGCAGCAGCCTCTCTACCATTCCCCCTGGCTGGATGAAGCCTGACGCTCCATATTTACACGATTCATGATGAAAAACAGAAATGAATGTCAAAAATAGTATATTGTCAATATTTTAGAGACTCCCCAAAAATATCACAAATCATGTTGTCAGAGGATTTAATGTCTTAAGAGGCGCCATTGATAGCCTTGATAAACATATTCGGGTATTTTCTTAGATCCGAACCAGCTGCTTCAGATCAGCTGAAAACAAATTGCCAACTGGATGCTGACGTCCTTAATCAATAGCTGACTGGAAATAGGAGTATCCCGATTGTTTGAGTGGCTAATAGGCAATGCAACAAGCCACAAAAATGTTTTTGCTCCAGTGAGCATATTTCAGTTTTTCCTTCACAGATCCAGATCTCCAGCTGCAGGTGATCAGATCAACAGTCTGTCAGAATTATACTGAGGCAGAGCTGCTTTGTCACAACAGCTGTCGTCTACCTGATCATCCTTCCTACGTCTGGTTCAAGAATGGACAGAAAATGGAAAGGGTGGAGACATCTTCTTATAAAGATCAGTTTTATCCTGGAGACATCATCTCCTGTGCTGTAAAAGGACATGAGGATTCCCCCTCTCCTTCAGTGTGTGAGTTTAGTCCATGTTGTTGGGGGTAGGTGGTCTGTGAATATAATATACTATACTATATATTATATTCACAGACCATTCTGGAGTCTTATAGATCTTATTGTAGACACAGCATTAATATTATATTAATATTAATATATAATATAGAATATTTATACAAAGAACATGCTACTACCAGTAGAAAAGCAATATTGAGATTGGAAATGCTTTCCTATTATTTACATTTTTGTGATTCAGGAATATTTGAAGTATAAAACATCTTGTTGCTACATTTAATGTTTTGGTAGTTATAATGTTTCTGTTACTGAGACGCTCCATTACTTCTATTGATGACGTCAGGACCAATACATCTCTGAGTTAACTGAACAGTTTTTAACTGAGACAGAATGGATATTGTTATTGTTTTTCATAGTAAAACATTATAATGGCCTCACCAGTTTCTGGATTTATTCCTGACAGACTCAACAGACATCTTAGTAGTGCTAAATCTGAAACACAAAAGTGCAGCAACAACCACAGAAAAATGTGTAGAGTTGTTGAAAATTACAAATTACAGATGATTAATGGTCTGTTATTGGCTGTCAGTTTCCACCAGCAGGAGTCAAACCTGGGACATCTATCTATCTATCTATCTATCACAGAGAAGTTTTAATGAAACATCTATGAGAACAAATTCTAATCTTTAAGTAATTCATGTTCATCTCTTCTCCAGATGCTCCAAAGCTTCCCTCTGTGTCAGTGAGTCCCTCTGCTGAGATAGTGGAGGGCAGTTCAGTGACTCTGACCTGCAGCACTGATGCTAACCCAGCAGCTAAATACACCTGGTACAAGACGAATGTAAACCTCAAACCTCTCAGTAAAGAACCACAGCTTGTCTTCAGCTCCATCCAGTCCTCTGACTCTGGAGAGTATTACTGTGCAGCTGAGAACCAGCTGGGGAGGAAGACAACTAAATACATCATTAATGTGAAATGTGAGTGGAACAGCTTATTTCAAAATAACACACAGCTTAAATCTGTCCAGTCTTTGCAGGAGAAGATTTTACTGACCATACCTACATCCTTCAGATCTACTTGCTTCACATTTACTGTCTGCTGTAATTCATTGAGCAGCTCCAGAGAGTGCTGAAGTCACAAACAGGGCCTCAGACCAACGTCCTGATAGTCTGTAGGTTTCTTCCCAACACTGGCAATAAACCTACACACAACTACCAGGACAAAGATACCCACTCAGTTAGCCTGACTGAGACCTCCTGTTAGCTTCAGCTAAACTTAAGACAGCATTGTGCCTGCCATTTGTTCATGTGTCTGTCTGTCTGCCTGTAAACAACTTGTCTGTCTGCGCCCAAAGCAGATTCATCCAGAATCAATCAGGCTCCCTGCCTGGAGGTTACGACGTGAGAGGACGCTGGCGCCATTTATTGGCCGCTTTTCCGTCTGCTATTCCTTCCTTTGCTCCTGTTTTGTTAGTGTTTGTGTTCACTGTACCCCTACCTCTGGACAGCCTTTCAGCTGGTTCCTGAAGCCGCTTGGGCATCTCGACCGGACTACTGCCTCGTCGGTTTCCCGCTAGCTAGCTGCTCGTGCTCGGACTTCTTCGACGACCTCGTTACATCCACAGAAGCTCTCGCCGCAAGTTTGTTTATCTTCACCACGGACAATCCATTCCATCCATCTGGTCCCCTGCGCGCTCTGTCGCACCTCTCCCACGTCATCGGAACGCTTCTCCCACTGCATCACATAGAGCTGAGCGCACCGACAGGCTGCACAAAAAACCCGGACTGGACTAAATCGCTATTCACACTTCACCTATGCCTATTCTCCAATCATTTGCAAATTCCCTCGCTGTCCCTCCTCAACTGCATTACCCCCCACACGCACTGTTAATTGGGACAACCTCAGATCTTTCCAGCCTGCCCCCATCTCACCACCGTCTCACCATGCCAACTTTGCCCTCCTCAACACCCGATCGATTAACAATAAAGCCCCTGCCCTCCATGACCTAATCCTCGACAACACGCTGGATTTCCTTCTGCTTACCGAATCCTGCCAACAACCCAATGACTTCTTCTCTCTCAACCAAGCATCCCCCACTGGCTACAATTACATCTGCAAACCCCGCCCCTCCCGTCGTGGTGGCGGCCTTGCCGTCATTTACAATCAGAACTTCCAGATCACCGAACTTACCCTCCCCTCAGTATCTTCATTTGAATATCTCCCCTTCAAAGCTCTTTCCTCCATGACAGTTATCCTCATCTACCGGCCACCTACCAAACATTTCCTTCCTCTCTGATTTTACAGAACTCCTAACTCTAGCCTCATCTCTCTCTTCACGTCTGCTGCTACTCGGTGACTTCAACATCCATATAGACTCCCCCACCTGCAAGCTGTCATCAGAATTCACCATTTTACTGGAAAACTTCACTCTCATCCAACATTTCACATTCCCCACCCATGACAAAGGTCCCATCCTCGACCTGGTCTGCTCCACTAACCTACCAGTGCCCGATCTCCATCCATGCCTCTTTCCCCTCTCTGATCACAAACTGATACGGTTCACCATTCCTTCTCCATCCGCACGGCCTCACCTCCTTAGAGAAATCACCTTCCCGCAACCTTAGTTACCTCCTTAGTTTATCTAATCTATCTTCTTATTTGTTGTTGATCATATGAGGAATGACTCAAACCCCTAAGTCACTTGGTTACGGGCACTCCTCCAGGCACTCCCTGAGATTAGAACTCTTAAAGCATCAATGTACACTCTGGTGTCAAATGTACCACCACAAGCTTTCTGTCTTGTAGTTCTGTGAAGGCCCTCTAGGGGCATTGTTGATTGCGAATTTTGGAGATATTAGGTGCGTTTGACTTCATGCGGCACTGCGCAGCACTGACTTAATGTCTTGCAAGCTGGACTTAAAATAAGGCATGCTGGTTAGAAATTGTGTCCGACTTTTGCCGGCGCTGCAAAACGTCACCATGTCACATGACATTAAAACCTCGTGGGAGCAAGGCGGCTGCGGTTGCTTTTCCCCAGCTGCACCAAGTTGGAACCACACTTTTGCCTGGTCTCACGGCATTTTTCTTTGCAGATGCCACAAGCTCAATCATTGATCTCAGCTCACAGTAAGCTCACGCAGGTAGAATGTGTCCGACTTGATGGCGCCATTTTTATTCCCCGCCCCTGCAGTCACCTGCAGCGCCTTACTGATATTCGTTATTTCCACCTCTCCTCTACGTGACTGGGATCTGTATTCTTCACTGGGTTTGAGACATCTTGCTAAATATATTTAATGAATCCCTTTTGTAGCTCAGACTTCCCCCAACCTTCGGCAGATCGGTGAATTTAAAGTTTCTCAGCCTGGTCTGTCTCTTCAGACAGACCAAATACCTTTTTACAGTGTGACAGATGGATCCAGGTAGTTCTTTCAGCAGTTTTTAGTGCTGTGGAGGTGGTGAGGAGGACTTGAAACAGGCCGTCCAACGTGGGACTGGACCCGTTTTTCCTCTTTATGGCTTTGATCAATACCCGGTCTCCCGGCTGTACCACTGAGTCCTCTGTTGTCAGCATGGTTCCTGGAACAGAATTAACAGAAGAGATCTCTCTTTAACATTTGTGCCATGTAGTCTGTTAATGTCTGTTCTGTGTCTTCATCATCTCTGAGAAATAGTTTCAGCTGTGGAAGACTATATGGTCTGCCATACGTCATCTCAAAAGGAGTCTGTCCTGGTGATGTTGGTGTGATATGCATGCTCACTACTAGTAGGGGGAGACAGAACAACCAATTCTTTCCTGTCTCCTCCATAGTGTTCTTCAGTTTTGACTTAAGCGTTCCATTATGTCTTTCTATTCGTCCTGCAGAGTGTGAGTGGTATGCAAAAAAATTTTTTTCAATCTTAAGTGCTTGTGCAATAAGTGAGATGGCAAAATGTGTGCCATTATCACAGGATCTGTCCATTTTGTGTGTGCTTTACATTTGCATATTGCAACTTTTTTAGGTAGTTGTATTGCTGCAATTAAGTTAAGTATAAGGTCTCTATGATTTATTGGCTTCCCTGTAGAGGTAACCATACCTCTGTTTTTCCAGTGTTGCGTAAACACATGGACAGTTGAAAATACATATTGACTATTAGAGTAGATATTGGCTATTTTACAGTCAGGTCCATAAATATTGGGACATCGACACAATTGTAATCTTTTTGGCTCTATACACCACCACAATGGATTTGAAATGAAACGAACAAGATGTGCTTTAACTGCAGACTTTCAGCTTTAATTTGAGAGTATTTACATCCATTAAGGGACCAAAAGTAATGGGACAGATTAACAATCATAAATCAAACTTTCACTTTTTAATACCTGGTTGCAAATCCTTTGCAGTCAATTACAGCCTGAAGTCTGGAACGCATAGACATCACCAGACGCTGGGTTTCATCACTGGTGCTGCTTGTTCTTGGGGCATTTTCCCTTCAGTTTTGTCTTCAGCAAGTGAAATGCATGCTCATTCGGATTCAGGTCAGGTGATAGACTTGGCCATTGCATAACATTCCACTTCTTTCCCTTAAAAAACGCTTTGGTTGCTTTCGCAGTATGCTTAGGGTCACTGTCCATCTGCACTGTGAAGCGCCGTCCAATGAGTTCTGAAGCATTTGGCTGAATATGAGCAGATAATATTGCCCGAAACACTTCAGAATTCATCCTGCTGCTTTTGTGAGCAGTCACATCATCAATAAATACAAGAGAACCAGTTCCATTAGCAGCCATACATGCCCACGCCATGACACTACCATGCTTCACTGATGAGGTGGTATGTTTTGGATCATGAGCAGTTCCTTTCCTTCTCCATACTCTTCTCTTCTCATCACTCTGGTACAAGTTGATCTTTGTCTCATCTCTCCATAGGATGTTGAACTGTGAAGGCTTTTTTAGATGTTGTTTGGCAAACTCTAATCTGGCCTTCCTTTTTTTGAGGCTCACCAATGGTTTACATCTTGTGGTGAACCCTCTGCATTCACTCAAGTGAAGTCTTCTCTTGATTGTTGACTTTGACACACATACACCTACCTCCTGGAGAGTGTTCTTGATCTGGCCAACTGTTGAAGGGTGTTTTCTTCACCAGAGAAAGAATTCTTCGGTCATCCACCACAGTTGTTTTCCGTGGTCTTCCGGGTCTTTTGGTGTTGCTGAGCTCACCGGTGCGTTCTTTCTTTTTAAGAATATTCCAAACAGTTGATTTGGCCACACCTAATGTTTTTGCTATCTCTCTGATGGGTTTGTTTTGATTTTTCAGCCTAATGATGGCTTCTTCACTGATAGTGACAGCTCTTTGGACCTCATATTGAGAGTTGACAGCAACAGATTCCAAATGCAAATAGCACACTTGAAATGAACTCTGGACCTTTTATCTGCTCCTTGTAAATGGGATAATGAGGGAATAACACACACCTGGCCATGGAACAGCTGAGCAGCCAATTGTCCCATTACTTTTGGTCCCTGTTGTATTTCCTACACCGTTCACCTTATTTGGATGTAAATACCCTCATATTAAAGCTGAAAGTCTGCAGTTAAAGCACATCTTGTTCGTTTCATTTCAAATCCATTGTGGTGGTGTATAGAGCCAAAAAGATTAGAATTGTGTCGATGTCCCAATATTTATGGACCTGACTGTATCTCAGGCTGGTTTACATGCTTCTGTTAAAGCCACTTATTCAGCTGCTTGTAATAAATTCAAATAATGTAATGTTTTGGTAGTGGCATTAATACTTTGTCTTGAGTCACTACAGCAAATCCTGTTGCATTCATACCATCTGGAGTATTGTGCGTCATCATGTGGTGTGTCAGTCAAGTCTAGTCGTGGTACAACACTTTGTGTTATTTCTGACAGGCAGTCAGGTGGTGTTCCATCAGTTTCTAACGGTAATAAAGTTGATGGATTCAGAGTTGTACATCAAATGTGGTTGTGACAACAGTACAGTCATGCATGAAAGATGTCTGGATGGTGGAAGGTGAGAGATCTTATTTTGTAACAGTATTATAGCTATAGCATGTGTTACACCCTGGATGCAACCACCACTGCTTGCACACACAGAGGTAAGGCTCTAGCCACAGTCTCAAGGTTGCTAGAGTAGTAGGCAATTGGCCTCTGTTTTCCCCCATAGCTTTGCATCAGTAGTGAGGTCATAAATCCATCTTTGCAGTCTACTGTTTGTACAAACCCTTTTGAATAGTCAGGTAAGCCTAACCCCGCTGAGCATACTAATAACTGATAATGGAGTATCATATATATTAATGCAGATAAGGTTTCTGTTATAGCTGCATAATTTGAAATCCAGCTCCTGCAGAAGTTAGTCATCCCTAAAAGGACATCATTTGTCATTTTGTTCTAGGTTTTGGAGCCTGCAAAATAGAAGCTTTCCATACATCGTCTAAATGTTTCCCTTCTTGTGACAGATAGTAGCCCATATATTTGTGGGCTTTGCAATAATTGTAGCTTGTTTTTGTTGCCTTTCTGGTCTTTGTCTGCTAGAAAACATAGCAGTGCCAATGTGTCTGTTTTACAACTCTCCTTTGTAGGAGAGGCCAGCAAAATGTCATCCACATTGCGTCGTATCTGACTCTTTCCTGGAGGGTTAAATTTGGCTAAGTTAGCAGACATTGCTTGGGAGAAAATGGTTGGGGATTTGACAGAATCCCTGTCTCGTCTCCTCAATGTTACTGTTGCTCTTGCTTCTGTATAACCTGCTTTTTCTTTTTTCTCATCATTCTTACCACACTCTTTTTCTATCTCTTGGACTAATCTTGTACATGGTACACTTAGTTTCCCTTTAAAGCCAAATTTCTTTCCTTATATCTGCAAATGTTTCATAATTCCTTGCCCTCTCTGTAACATGTACTACCCATTTCCTGTTATTTCACTGCTCTGTCGCTTACAACAGTTGTTCCCCATTATTATAGTTTCTCCCTTAACAGTCAGTCAGTTTGTATGGAATTCACCCGAGCAACTGACCCAATCAGTAAGACGATGCAACAAAGGTTTCCGCAACAGTTTGGTTGACACCGTTTGTTGTCTTTACTGGGTTACTGTTAATATCCACCTCCCACACGTACAACAAGAATACATTCAACACACAAGACTTTTCACACAAAATATTGGTACCCTCTTTTTTTTTTCTTTACTGAAATTTCTAATATTTCTTTTCTCTCTGTTTAACGTGCACACGGAGTTCTGGGTCTTCGTGGAGTCCCAGACTCTTTGGAATCCCACATTCCTTACTTATTAACTTAACGTTACTGCT